GGACATATTGGTAGATGACAGTTCTCAAAGAAAAGTTATTCCCGTTGTTTTCAGATTAGGACAGAAAAAGTAACTATTCTTTACCAAGCCAAAGCAAGAAAAGCAAAATATAGCTCTGGGGGAAATTCATAGTAGTATCACTTGGAAGTCAGAGAGAATATGTCTAAAAAGAGCTATTAGATGAGGAATATAAAAATACATGAAAACTCAAAAACTAGAGTAGAAAACACAAAGAGGAGTCTGGTAAATCTATTATTTTTCATTTTCCTTGATATGCTTATATAAGGAGGCAACTTTATTTTTTCCCTTCAATTTAGAAGATAAAACTTATCCAAGTTGAGGATCCATGTTTATCATAAGAGAAATATTAGGTTTACAGGCCTTTCTACACTTGGCAGCCATAGTACAAACCACTCATTGTAACCTACAGTGGTCCTTTGAATAGCCCAGTAGTACTTAGTTCTGAATTCGAACTCAGAATTTTCTATCACCCAAATTATTAATGATAATTATTGATAATCACCCCAGATTATTGATGACAATGAACAGATCTATTCCTTAAAATCCAACCTGATTGCTCTGTTAAATGCTGCAGATTTTAGCTTCGACTTAGGCAGCACTTCTTGGAAAATGTTCTATTCTTTCTCTATTTAACATTACCTCAATACAGATTAACATCAATCAGTTTTTTGAACCTAAATTTTATTCGTATTATACATTTGCCAAGGTTCTTGTGGAACTTGAAGACCAATTTTCATCGTGGAAATTAAAGAATTCAGATATGCATTGATGTGAGACTTTGAGGTATAGAAAAAACAGTTATATCCAAGTTTTAGCATGGTGTCTCTGGAAAGGGACCTTAATCCTTTATGAAATGTATCATTTTAATGGTAGGTTCATGATTAAAAAATATGAATAGTCTTAGTGTGTCTTCCTGTGTGTTAAAGGAAATATTAATAAGAACTAACTTTCATAGTACTCATCAATAAAAGTAACATTCTCTTATGTGAAAACAACACAATGCCTGCCCTATAATAAACAATGAAGACAAAAAAATAAACATCATCTGAATTTGCAACATATATTGAAATTCTTAAAAATTAGGTTAATATAATCTCACGAAAGCTCCACAGTTGATTGCAAATACCACTTAGTTCAAAAATGTCTGTGTGTGGGTGTGAACTTAATAGAATCTTTCAGTCGTAACTTTATATATTAGAATTGAGGTTTTGATTCTTCTACCTTAAAGCTACAAAGAATATATTTGAAAATCTTCAGTGCATGTCTCCCTCCAGATGCACATAAAGTGCATTTAAGATTGAATTTCTGCATTAGCCAAGAAATTTAGATATAAACACATTGCATCAATACTACAGTAATACAATACTGTATTTGTTTATTTGTTTTTAAAGATTTTATTTATTTATTTATTCATGAGAGACACAGCTAGAGAGAGAGAAGCAGAGACAAAGGCAGAGGGAGAAGCAGGCTCCCTGCCGGGAGCCCGACATAGGACTTGATCCTGGGTCTCCAGGATCACGCCCTGGGCTGAAGGCAGCGCTAAACCGCTAAGCCACTGGGGCTGCCCTACAATACTGTATTTAAATATCTTATAACACATCAGATATACCACTAATAAACCCTTTATTATTAGAATGCTAAAATAAAAGGTAGGGAGAGAAAGGTCATAAAAGAGTAAAGCTTAGAAAGAAGTAAAGGAAGGAAGTAATGGAAGTAGGAAGAAAAACAATAGATATAAGGGAAGAAAAATATATTTTCAAGTATCAAATATTCTAATAATGTTGCAAAACACTATATATCTGGCATTTGGAATTGCCATTAAAAAGCTAAAAACTAAGGATATATTAAATTTCAGGAATTATTTTTTGAAGAACCAATTGTTAAGTGCAGCTTTCGCACTTTAAAAACACTCTGTGCATATAATGTATCAGGAGAGAGTACAATCATATGGAAGCTCACATTGCAAGAGAGCTGAAATGTCTAAGATAGATACATTTTGTGTTCATGTTGTAATTTTATGGCTCTTTTTAATTAAGGAAGGCTTGGTCATTTGTGGTTCAGATTTTTTTTCCTGGCCTTGCTTTACTTTGATCCCTCAAAATTAAGAGTGAAAATTACTTAGCATAAAGTAGTGAATATTGGCTTTTCAAAATAAGGATTTTCTTAATTCACAGCAAACCTTCGTATAATTGATTCAAAAAGAAAAATTAGCAAAGCACACGCTATTATTTCTTTAGAGTATTTATATTACTAACGCACTACAAATACATTAGAATAATTATAATTTGAGAAGGAGCTTGTAGAATTTGATGACACTACAGGAGTCCAAAAATAGAGAACCAAAAAGCAATATGATTGAAAGGTAAATCTTTCGCACAAGTATAAATACACACTCACAAGCAACAACACAATGAGCTTCATAATTTCTGTGTATTACATTTTAATATGTTCATGTAAATTACCTAATTTAAAATCCGGGAGTACATGTTGGTCATTCAGCTTTAAAGATATTTTCCTTGTTCATGTTGACTTAATATTTTAGTCATCTTTCCCGTGACAATTTACAACTAAAGATCTATCTAATGACTTTTTGCATTCATTACATTTTATTGTTACTTTACAATTACTTCAAATATCCTGAACAGTAATTATATGTATGGCTATATATAAGGATATTATAATATTGCTTATATAAAAATAAATGACTACTCTAACAGACCCTTTCAGTCCACTCTTAATTTCACCCTGGGCAGGTAAAATTTATTTTTTTGATTTCTCTTAACCTCATCCTTTGTCCTAGTCACTCATCTCCTTTGCACACCTCCCAAACTAATTACCCTAAGGTACCATTTTCACAGTCTTTGTACCCAGATGCCAATTTATCCCACCTAAGGGGAAAGTTCTTAAGAACTTAAATTCTATCACAATATCATTATAATATAGAAATTTATGAAGTTTTAAAGTTGTACTGTATAGAATGACTGATCTGTAAGGAACTTTATAGATAACTTAGTATAATAAAATCCTCAAATTTTACAAATGATGAGTGTGATGTAGGAGTTTAAATAACTTGATCTTGGTCACACAGATAATTTAGGACAGAATAAAACCTAGAATCTCTTAGGAGGGTGCAGTCCTCCTAGTTCTATTTCTTTCTTTTTCTTTTTCTTTTTCTTTCTTTCTTTCTTTCTTTCTTTCTTTCTTTCTTTCTTTCTTTCTTTCTTTCTTTCTCTCTTTATTTTCTTCTCTTTCTCTCTACACAGTGAGAAAATTGTTTCTTTTTTTTAATTTTTGAAGCATATTTGTTTTCCAGTTTTATCCCCCTAGGCTTTTGAATAATATTATGCCTGCCTAAATTTAATTCATAGCCCAAACAAGATGATCACTGAAGTGAACTGAAAAACAGTGTTTATTAAACAGTCTGTGACACAGGCTTTGGTGGAATTTCATAAGAATTTTTATAATATACTCTATATTTTTTCACAGTGAACTTTTAAATCTTCTCTGCCATTTTGGCATGTTGGCATGAAGGAGACCAAATATGCCATGTGACATTTCTAAAAGAAGGATAACATGTGTGCTTTGATCAGCCTGAGTACAGGATATTCAGTTGGCTTCATTGTAATTATAATTGTAGAATGCCCATCTGCCCCTAAATGTCATCTTTTATGCCCTACCATGGTTTCTGAAACCATTATTAGATTACTTTGGGAACTGAAGCACTTTTGGAATATGTATGTGTATGTGTGTGCGAGTATATGTATGTAATGAGCAGTGCAAGGAGGCATTGCGCTAGTCATTTATATATTTATATAAAATCAATAGCTGTCAGAGGAAAATAAAATATTGCAGATTACCTGAAATGCAAGCATTACAGTCTAGATGTGTTGGGGGATCTTCCCAGGGAACTGAATATTTAGGAAAGGAACTGAACAAATACTTTAATAAAGATAGAGAGGAAAGTTTATGTGGATGCAAAGGAAGAAAAAGAAGTTCTCTCAGAAGCAAAATTACCATTTTTTTCTCAATTATGCTAACTAACTTTCGAGAAAGGATTTGGATATATATGCCCACAAAATAGATGTGCATCCTCGAATGATTTATTAAATATTGCAGAAAATCAAATTTATTATGTTTCTTGATAGGAAAATACACAAGTGTGCTAATTTCATCAAAGTCCCTGAAAACACTCATGAGTGGATTCAGTACAGAATTATAGTAGTCTCTGGGAATATCAGGACATAGTATTTTGATGGACCACCATGTATGGGATGCTATGAAATTTCCTGAATAACTCACTTTATGAAAACATTTTTATACAACTTAAGGAAACCCGGGCTTAATTTTTAGCTGCTCATTTGTTCGTTCGAGGAAGTCCCGATGGCTGTAGGTGGGACAGTGGGCAGGATGTGATCATGACCTTTCTAGATGATTGATCGCTTCAGTTCACTGAAGCATTTGTTTACAAGTTTGGGCAGTCAGGGGTGTGGCTTGCAGACCCCCCGCCCCGCCTCTGGCTGTCCAGGCCCCTGGAGCCTCACCGAGCCGGGAGCCTCACAGACACAGAGGGGATGGCTGCAGCCCACCAAAGGCTTCCAGCAGACCCCATCTTCCATAGAGCAATTGATATATTAGCCGTAATAAATATTGCAAAACCTTCAGGGTTTTGGCAGTGGAAGCTGAAGCTGAGAACTTTCACTATTTTTTTCTTATTAAATGCTTTTTTTTTTTAAACCCTGGAATCTCCAAGTTCACATATCTTGACGGTGTGTATCTAAATCCTAAGAATGAAGAGGGAAGATGCTGCAGACTTGTGAGATCTATAGAGCACTCACATGAAAGAAAGAAAAAACAAAACAAAAAAAAGAAAAAGAAAAAGAAAAGAAAAAGAAAAAGCAAATCTTCCGTTTACGAATGCCGATGAGCGCCGCCCGCTTTCGCGTTTGCTCCGGGCGCCCCCCGGCGGTCCCTGTCTCCAGCACAAGGTGGATCCGCTGCAGCGACTCCCTGCAGCCGCCCCGGGAGCCGACCGCCGGGGGAGCGGGAAAGTTTGTCCCGCAGCCCAGGGGCAGCGGAGGTGCCCTCGGGTGCTCCCCCGCCCCCGCCGGCCGCAGCCCGAGCGCCCGGAACCGCGGCCCGGGCCCAGGCAGCGGCTCTGGCCGCCCAGGAGCGCCAGCGCCCCAGGGCTGCGGGGCGAGCATCGCAGGCCCGCACGAGTCTCGCCTCCTCCCCCGCCGCCCAGCGCCCGAGCGGCAGCCCAGGCCCCGCCCCCTCGCCTGGCCCACCCCAAGCCGGTATGCAAAGCAGCTACGTCAGAGGGCGGGGGTGGGGCCTTTGCGTTGAGTGGCAGCCGCGGCGGCCTTGGGAGGAGGCGCGGGAACCACTGCAGTTGTTTTTTTTTTTTTAATTTTTATTTATTTATGATAGTCAAAGAGAGAGAGGCAGAGACATAGGCAGAGGGAGAAGCAGGCTCCATGCACCGGGAGCCCGATGTAGGATTCGATCCCGGGTCTCCAGGATTGCGCCCTGGGCCAAAGGCAGGCGCCAAACTGCTGCGCCACCAAGGGATCCCGAACCACTGCAGTTTTAGACCAAACTCTTCTCCTCTTTAGCCAGCTGAAACCATCTTTTAACGTTTTTTGGTTGTTGTTGTTTTGCTTTTTTTTTTAAACTATTATTATTATTGTGATCTATAAATCCCCACCGTGCAGGAATCTTTCTGGGAGACTTTTTTTTTTTACTCTTACAATAAGGTAAGACAAATACCATTGCTGTAATTATTACAAATGGGGGAGGAATTGCAGAGCGCCATACGAAATTTTGAAAGCAAGTTAGGCTTTTTGTAATCCGAAGCAGGACTTTTGGCAATGATTGCAGGGATTATTTAAATAATTATTACTATTATTATCATTACAGGAATATCAGTTGGTGATGAAGCACGGAGTTCTAGAGGGGAAGTTGAGGGTTTTGTGTGTGTGTGTGTCTTTTTTTTTGTGAAGTTAATGTCATCAGGTTATATTCTGCTTTTTAAATGCAAATAAACGGAACAAAAAATGCTCGAGGAATACACACCTAGGCAAAAATATAACCCTTAACCTATACCTTACAGCTCATAAAGAAAATAAAACAGGGGCGCCTGGCTGGCACAGTTAACCAGCCAATTCATGGTTTGGGCTGAGGTGATGATCTTATGGGCTGTGAGAGCCTCACGTCAGCCTCCATACTCAGCAGGGAATCTACTTTAAGAGTCTCTCATTGGTCCCTGCTCACATGCAGGTGCATTCCATCTCTCTCTAAAATAGATCAATAAATTAGAAAAAAGAAATCAAAATAGATTGCTGCCATAAACAGAAAATAAGAGTATAAAATTCTTAACACAGGGAAAATCATCAGGATCTAGGAATAGAAAACAATTCCTAGACTTGATATGATCCCTAAAAATGATAAAATGATAAACTGGACCTCATCAAAACTAAAAGCTTTTGCTGTATGAAAGGTACTATTAAGAGAATGAAAAAACAAGCTACATACTAGGAGAAAATATCTACAAACGACATCTCCAATAATGGAATAAAATATAGACAGGATTCCCAGTACTCAACATTTCATGAAAGAATCCAATAAGAAAAAGGGCAAAAGACACCCACAAACATTTTATAAAAGAATACACTGCAAATAATAAAATGTGGCAAATAAATGATAAAACGTTCACCGTCATTAGCTATCAGGGAAATTTAAATGAAACCGCAGGGAAATACCACTATTAGGTTGTCTAAATAAATAATAGTAAGGATGGGAAAAAGCTAGATCATTAATATATTGCTGGTGGAAATATAAAATGGCCAATTACTTTGGCAGTTTCCTATGAAGCTAAATATGCAATTACCATACAACCCAGCAGTTGTGTTCTTAGGCATTTACCCGAGAAAAATAGGAAATTCATATTTATATAAAAACCTGAAAAAAAAAACCTGAAAAAAAAAAAAAAAACCTGTACGGAGGGAGGAGGGCAAGATGGCGGAAGAGTAGGGTCCCCAAATCACCTGTCCCCAAAAAATTACCTGGATAACCTTCAAATCATCCTGAAAACCTACGAATTCGGCCTGAGATGTAAAGAGAGACCACCTGGAACGCTCCAGTGAGAAGAGTTCGCGCTTCTATCAGGTAGGAAGACGGGGAAAAAGAAATAAAGAGACAAAAGGCCTCCGAGGGGGAGGGGCCCGCGAGGAGCCGGGCTGAGGCCGGGGCGCGTGTCCCCAGGACGGGAGAGCCCCGTCCCGGAGGAGCAGGAGCTGCACCAACCTTCCCGGGCGGAAAGGGGCTCGCAGGGAGCTGGGGCAGGACCCAGGAGGGCGGGGATGCCCTCGGGCTCCCGGGGACACTAACAGACACCTGCGCCCCGGGGAGTGCGCCGAGCTCCCTAAGGGCTGCAGCGCGCATGGCGGGGCCGGAGCAGCTCGGAGGGGCTCGGGCGGCGGCTCCAGGGAGGGGGCTGCGCGGCTCCGGGAGCAGCTCGGGGGGCTCGGGCGGCGGCTCCGCGGAGAGGGGGCTGCGGGGCGGGAGCGCGAATCCCACAGCGCAGCCCCCGGAGCACTGGGCGCCGGGACACAGCCCAGGATCCGGCCTCCCCCGGGACAGGCAGAGGCCGGAGGGCCCAGGACAAGTAAAACAAAAAGCAAGTCTATATATTATTAAACCTAGAAAAATAACTTAAGATGCCAAGGATGATATCATATTTTGGAGTGTGAAAATTTATTATTTTGGAATTCATAAGGAGGAAAATGGTAATTGGTAGGCTTACAGGTTCTAGTAACTCAGGACGGAGTATTCAGATATTCCATAGAAACGAAGTGAAAACAGCCATATCCCGGCACAGCTGGATGCAAGCGTGTGTGTGGCAGGAGATACTCATGCTTAGTTGGAAGTCTCAGTCTTCTTTGCTATGCACCACAGTTTACTAAGTAAGCATGAGGAAATTAGGATTGCTAGAAATAAGATCCTGCATAATGGAGGATTCATTAGCAGATATATCAGGACCCGGTAAAAAGAAAGTGAATTTTAAGAATGAGAGAAGTAGAGGAAGTAAATTAGAAATCTTTATTTCCGTATTAAGAATGATAGATTTAGGAAGCTATGAGATCTATGGATATGAAAGACAAAAAGAATTGTATAGTAATTTCAAAAAAAGATAATCCTGAAGGAGGGGAAAGTGGAAACAGAGGGAAATAAATTTGAGACTGAGAAAACTCTATGCATAGGAAGAGAAAAAAAATAAATGTATGAGATATACATGAATTTTTGAAAACAAACATAAAGGAGAGATAGAAAACAGCAAAAATCTAAAACCTCAAATAACCGCCCCCTTCCTTGCATGGATTATTATCTGTAGAGCCTATATTGTCTTCTAAGAATTGTTTATATAGACACAATCCAGTCTTATTTCCACAAAGGAAGAAACACCCAATCATCAAAAATTCATATAAAATACTTTTCTGAGTTTCAAAACTTTTAGGTGTTGAGAAAAACAAAGCCCTGCAAAAAGCACAGATTTGGGGTTAGGGAGGTATACAAGAGTAGAGCCACATGTGACTGGAAGCCAGGAATGCACTTCTCTGGGAGGATTGCACAGATATCCATATGCAATGGACAGAATTTATTTTTTTAAACAGATATTTATATTACTCTAGACCACAAATAGAAACACAGATTATAAAACAAACAAACAAACAAAAAAGAAACACAGATTATAACTGGAGATATCAATGGATTATCACATAGTTAACCCATTTTTAAACCATACTTAACTGAAAACATAAAATATTATCAACACCAGAAACATCTGTGTTTCCTTGATTCTTGCTACAGGTAACATTATTTTTACTTTGAAAACCAAAGGTTGGGCACCTGGGTGGTTTGGTCCATTAAGCGTCTGCCTTCAGCTCAGGTCATGATCTCAGGGTCCTGGGATCCAGTCTCGCATCGAGGAGTCTGCCTCTCCCTCTCCACTGCCTCTCCCTCCGTTCATGCTCACTCTTCTCACCCTCTCTAGAATAAATAAATAAAATATTAATTTGAAAAAAAGGAAAACCAAAGGTCACTTTTCTGTTTTTGAACTTACACAATTTCATACTTTTAAGTATGTATCTCTTTATAACTGACCTCTTTCACTCAATGGCATATTTGGGAGATTAAATGGTGCTCTTGGATGGAACCATAATTCATTAATTTTTATTATTATGTAATATTCTACAAGTTAAATGTACATTCTATTGTTAATATCAGTTAAGCTGTTCTCCTTTGTAGGTATTATGTCTAATGAGACATAACATTTGGGGAACACTGTACACATATATTATAGGTATATTCCAAGGAACCTATCTTCTAGCTTATGGAGTGTGTACATTTTTCCCTTATTAAATGTTGCCAAGTTATTTTTCCCACAGGGACTTTCATAATTTCCTGACCCACCAATTGTATAAGAGGGGACATAATGATATAAAGTATGTTCATATGGCAGAAAATTCAGTATTGCTATCCATCCTTTTAAAATTGATCTATGGGTTTAATGGCAACCCCAATGTTAGAGAATATTCACTGTAATATTTCAAAAATTATAAGTTACATGAATCAAAATAGTTGCATTGGCCTACAGCTGAAAAATACTTCAACATAACAGAACAGTGTCCAGAATTACATGCATACATACTTATATGTATATACTCAATTTATTTTAACCAATATACCAACTTAATAAAATGAGAGAAAAAAATCTTTCAACATATGGCTTGCGACAACTAGATATTCCAATAGGCAATAAAAAACATATCAAAATGTATAAAGGACACGTTAAATTCAATAACAAAAAAATTTTTAAATATCAAAAAATTTCAACAGAGATTTCATGAAAGATGGTATGTATTATTACTACATAACTGCAATAATGGTTAAAATTTACGAGAAACAAACAATAGTAAGGATGCGAGGATTGTCAAAATATGGAGCAATTCGAACTCTCTCACATAATGTTCATGAGACTATGAAATGATAAAATTACTTTGGAAAATATTTTAGCAGGTTTTTTTTTCTTTTTTTTTTTTAAGTTAAAGATAATGTATGCTTTGACTCAGGAATGAAATGAGAAGTGAAAGCATGCCCCCTAAAGGAGACTTCTATGAGAATAAAATCAGAAGTGTTATTCCTAATAACCAAAAGATCTGAAGCTAAAGAATGTCTTTTCTCAGGTGGATAAATAACTATTATGTAGTATATTCACAAATATATATATATACATATA